TTTGTTATTAATATACAATTTACTACAAAATGGTCAATAAAAGTGCGGTTGCTAGAGACATACAGCCTTCTTTTAGCATCCACTTCTATCCTCAGATCAGCAGGGTTTATAAAAAGAGCCCAATTCCAATTCTATATGTACATACTGCTTGGGAAGGACTGACATATGTAATTACAAAATATAATAGACTCATGTAGTACTTTCTATAAAGTACATAGGAAGATCTTATTCCAGATAAGAGTTCTTACAAATTAAGTCACATTAATAATATAGTAAACATATTACTGGCAAAAGCATGTGTTTGTCTCTCTAATGATCCTTCCCAGTTCCCATTATATCTAATTAAAAGGCACTGAGTTTTATAGGAATTCCATTACTGAGGTCCAATCCTGCTCACACATAGCCTGGCACACAGAGGAAACAGCCCTTCCCCAGCCCAGGGAGGCTGCAGAGCATACACACACACACACAATGCAAAAGCACCATGTCAGTGGGATCACAACTGGGCTGAACACCTGATTTTACAGTAAAAACTCCTGGGTTGTTTCACTTGACCAACTACCTAAGAAAAGGAAGGTTCTGCTTTACATCACTAGGCAGTTTTGACACATCTTATGAATTTTTTTCATTATGGTCAACAACTGACCAGTTAGCTGGAATATAACCACATTTACAAATAAATTCATCTTTTCAATAGAAAGAATATAAGGACAAAAAAAACAACTTGTCTAAGTGAAAAAAAGAAACTAGTGGGTTGGACAGAAGGTGCACAGTCATTATTTGAGTAATTACATTTTAAAAATCCAATTAGTTCCTAATTGCACATACAGATTTAGGACCTAGTTCTGCAACATCTACACATAGCCCAAACTCACGCTAAATACAGACTAAATATTCTGCATTACTTGAAAATATCACAACTTGGCTATTTTTACTCCTCTTCACTATTCATCATTAGGAATGTTTTGGCTAAGTGCAATGAAAATGAGTCCTCTAAGCAACTTTTAAAATTGAATGTGAAGGAACAAGACTATTAAAGAAGATATTAATACATAAAAACTAGGAAAAAGCAACAACATGCTGGGATTCAAAGTATGCTACTGAAACCAAAATATTATTCTACCCAAATTAACAGTATTTCAACATAGTCATATTTCTAAATTCCCAAATTAAAATTGCATACATCCTGTTGAGTTAACACAATAAAGTATTTTATTCAACTGCAAACAACAGATAAAAGGACCTGCAACAAAGTGTTACAGGAACAGGGCACTTCCCAGCTGCAGACTTTATTTCACTGAAGTCAGTGTGAATTTTGCTACTTTCTTTAAATGCAGAAAGACTAGTGTCCACATGAACCTCCAATGTATGCATACACTTGAATTTACTTAGTAGCAGTCACAAAGCATTTCAAAAGAGCCTCTGTGTGAAGCAAGAGCTTCTCTCCAAGTCTCTGGCGGACAGCTACTTCAGCCTGCAGGAGTATCAGCAGAAACTCCACCATAAATTAGTCAAAGGTTTGCTACAAGTTTACATATGGTGTTTTCACAACAAACGTCTAGTTTTGGTTTTTAAAACACATTTTACCCTTGTAAATAGTTTGTGTGTTTCTACCACTCCTCCTTTTCTTATACTAAAGCTCTCCAGAACTACTGAGCTTACCACTGCAATCCAAGCGAGAAGGAACTTGCACATCAGCTCACAGAAAACCACGCACACAGTTGCTCAGTCTCCAGAAGCATCAGGGTTTTGTGCAATGCATTGAGACACTCAGCTGAGGACACGTATACATCACTGATTGCCTATAAAACCAGTCACTGAAATTGCACTTGTGGACATCTCCCACAATTTCTGTCTTAATTACCTCTTATCACACACCCTTCTAGCTAAATTCATAGATATATTTTTACCCTCCTCTGTAATTCTGCCTCTCCAATGATGGGTAAATGCTTAAGTAATGCTGTTCTCGGGAATAAATAAATGGCAATGTCACTGTGACCTTGAAAGCATTTATTTTGCATCTAAGATACAATCCTCATTATCTACATTCAAGACATAACAAGCTTCAGTGTGAGAAGAGAACCCCCTTTAATACAGCACAGAAACACCTTTGCTTTTTCTTTTTTTGTCTGAAAAAACTTTCCAAAGGCTGGCCAGGCTGGAGCTCAGTCAGGTGAAGTGCAGCACCGGCCAGTACACTTGGTTTCAAACATTTAGCTCCCAATAATGAGATAGCTGCAAAGCCTCCTGATGTACTCATTGTTGCCTGCTGTGACACCTTACCGGGGAATGAAGGCCATCAGCAGTCATCACAAGGAGACAGATTTATTTCACCTGGTTTGTGTTTCTGCTACTGGGGTGAGTAATCCAAACTCACATCAACTGAACCTTAAACCTGAAAATTCCATTTCAAAGTAATTTGTTTCCAGCCTTCACTTAAATATGGTCAAAGGGCACTATGGAAACAATAAATACCCCACTAAGTGGAGTAAAGACAAGTTTTGGAAGTTCTTGTGACTCCAGAGAGGTGTAGTGTTCATGAAAATTTGTCTTTCCTTCTTTAAAAAAGCTTTCTTTTTTTTTTTTTTTTTAAATACCATGATACACCATTGCTTAGGGAGCTTGAGTTTTAAATCCCCTGGCAACATTTTCCCACTCGGTATAAAGTCTACCTTTACAGGAGGACCTCTTGCAAGACTTCACTGCTGAGCAGTTCCATCACTCCAGCACACGAAGGACAGATCCAAAACACTAAACTTGCATGTGAAAGAGTCTGCAGTGAGACAGCACTTCGGCGCTGCCAACAGGAAAGGTCTGCCACCAAAACCCAACACAGCCCACCAGGAGCTTCACCACAGACAGCAAGTCAATGAATAACAAGGAACACACTTGTTGATACTCCTGTGGATACACATCTCACTGACAACACCAAACACTTGTAAAGATCATCCAAACCCAGCTCCTGTTAACCAGGAACATCTACATAATTTGGAAAAGCTGTAGGTAATCATGACAATTAGTACAGAGGATTCATGTAATGCCACTCTACAGCAGCAGAGACACAGACACCAAACAAGTCTAACAAAAAAAGGGACGTAGGAGCCTAGGCATGAAGCTGAGGTGAAGCTCCAAGCTGTGGGAAGAAAATCCACCCACGAGAGCTGCAGAGCACCTTCAGCTCAAGTGCTCAGGAGGTGGAACCTGTGAAGTTCCCTTGCACATCTTCAGGGAGAGCCAGTAACAAATGTAGTCTTCTCAGCTTTATAAGCTGTTGGCAAGGTTTTTCTCAGGCTTCTGAAATTCATTTATTTCAACAGTTGCAACTCCTTCACAGGATAACTGGGAGAGGATCTGAGTCCATGAGCTTTCTCAGGAAGAGACAGACTGAAGCATAAGGAACTCATACCTCCTTGTGGCTTAGAAGGCACAATCTCAACTACAGGACTTCTCCCTTATACTATCATCCTCCTGGCTGGCTTCCCTTCTCCTCACTTCCTTTTTCCATTTCATTTCCAACTCTTCATATGATTCAATCTTTCCAGACTTTTTTTTTCTATGCACACACACAAATATACATATATATATATATAAAATAAAAGGAGTTGTAACCTGGCTGAGGACAGACCTGATAGATTGGAAGAACTTCATTGCATTTCAAACCCAGATAAAAGGTTTAGATAATTTTAATCTTTCTTTTTTTCCCCTTAATGTTATCCACTGGTCTAACAGAAGGCGTTACCTCTTCCTACAGCACCTCACTAATATTTTATATTACCATGGCTACCACAACACTGCTATTAACACAACCCCTGACATTTTCCCAATTCTCTTACTACCAATGGTGAGCCTCAGTGCATTCCAAATTTCAGTGCCCTTCACATACATTAAGCTTAGCATGCACCACTGACTCAGAATTTTCCTCCTGCAAAGGAAAAGCAGCTTGGTACAGTCAATAATTTTTGCAGTGTATCATAAAGTTTATCTGATGTGCAAATGTAATTGTCTTCCTGGATGCCTCATCCTCAATCCCTTTCAGGTTGAGACCACTTGACATTTTTTAAACAAAAGGCCTTTTAAGTCCTAATTTGTACTCTACTCGGTTTTGATAAGACATGACATTATGATATGATGAGTTAGTTGATTCTAAGTCAATTTGATTTATCCCACTTTTTGGGCTGGTATGGTTTACAAGGATGTTGCCTTTTACGATGGGATTGATTTTCATGTAAGCTGACAGCACAGGGTTTTTTTAGTGAAACGCTGTATCAGAGCAAAGTAACTATGAAAACAAAGCAAGGGGAAAATGAAGCAATAATTAAACAGCGGAAATTAATACTGATTCATAATTGGCACCTGCTTATCTCCATCAAGGAAGAGAGAGTGACAAACCAGTTTCCAGAATAATTCCATGCAGTGTTTGAAAGTTTGGGTTTTATTCCTAAGACCAAGAGGCAGCTCCTGAAATGTAACCTGACCATTTTGTGAACACCATGGAAAGTTCCTGAAATATTTCCCATCAAACAAGCACTATCACGACCACGAATCTTCATGTATCAAAGTAAAAGCATTACGTGCCCTTCATAAAACTGAAAGATTTTTCTAAGAACCTTTTCCTTTCTGACTGTTTAGGTGCCATTATATTGAATACTACCCTCGTTTCATTGCAATATTCTTCTACCTTATGATGCAGTGTTTTTAACCACGTAAGTTTGTGATGCTGCAGCGATACTTTCCCCCTTCGTAGGTAGTTATTTCTCATTTTTACAGCATGAATCACCTCTGTAATTTTGACAGATCGGTGGGAAAGGGACCGGAGAGGGTTGGTAGTTCGACTGAAGCAGGAATCTATTCCCCAGACTGACTTATCTAGAGGCATCCGCGCTCACCCCAACGAGTTGTAAGCAGTTAGTAAACAATTTAGGAGGTAGTGTGTACATGATGCACATTCCATGCTTTACAGAGTTACGTTTCGATTGAAACGCAGCTAAATCCTCACAGACCGGGTCCGACAGCGTTCAGAGCAGCCTCGACCATGAGATCATGCAGTTTTGGAGCTGACGGGCTACAAACAAGCCGACGGAAAGCTATTTGCTGATTAGCAGCGTTTTCTCCAGCGGTAAGAAAACCTGAGTCAGAGCAGCACGGAGCCATTCCCGCACCTGAGCGGGAGGGAAGGGGGAACTCGGGCTCTGGGAAATAATTCAATATTCTCCCAGGAAAACGGGGTCGGGTAACAGCACAAAATGCGACAAGAGAGCCCGAGGCTCACCCCGACAGGAGGACCGCTACCCTCCCTCTTGGATCAGAGACTTCTGAGGAGGAGGAAAGAGTTAGAACTTCTGAAATTCCCCCACGTCTCGCCTACAGGGTCCCGAGCTCCTTCTCCCGCAGCGGCGGCACCGAGCTCCCCGCTGCCGAGACGCGCGATCCAGCTTCCCAGGGGCTCGCAACTTCGCGGCGTGAACCGCGGGAACTGGCTTGTGCCCAGCTTGGCGCTTGGGTTTGTGCCCCGCTTAGGTTTGTGCCCCGCTAGGCCCTTGGGTTTGTGCCCAGCTTGGCACTTGGGTTTGTGCCCCGCTTGGGTTTGTGCCCTGCTAGGCCCTTGGGTTTGTGCCCCGCCTGGCGCTTGGGTATGTGCCCCGCTAGGCCCTTGGGCTTGTGCCCAGCTTGGCGCTTGGGTTTGTGCCCCGCTTAGGTTTGTGCCCCGCTAGGCCCTTGGGTTTGTGCCCAGCTTGGCACTTGGGTTTGTGCCCCGCTTGGGTTTGTGCCCTGCTAGGCCCTTGGGTTTGTGCCCCGCCTGGCGCTTGGGTATGTGCCCCGCTAGGCCCTTGGGCTTGTGCCCAGCTTGGCGCTTGGGTTTGTGCCCCGCTTAGGTTTGTGCCCCGCTAGGCCCTTGGGTTTGTGCCCAGCTTGGCACTTGGGTTTGTGCCCCGCTTGGGTTTGTGCCCTGCTAGGCCCTTGGGTTTGTGCCCCGCCTGGCGCTTGGGTATGTGCCCCGCTAGGCCCTTGGGCTTGTGCCCAGCTTGGCGCTTGGGTTTGTGCCCCGCTTAGGTTTGTGCCCCGCTAGGCCCTTGGGTTTGTGCCCAGCTTGGCACTTGGGTTTGTGCCCCGCTTGGGTTTGTGCCCTGCTAGGCCCTTGGGTTTGTGCCCCGCCTGGCGCTTGGGTATGTGCCCCGCTAGGCCCTTGGGCTTGTGCCCAGCTTGGCGCTTGGGTTTGTGCCCCGCTTAGGTTTGTGCCCCGCTAGGCCCTTGGGTTTGTGCCCAGCTTGGCACTTGGGTTTGTGCCCCGCTTGGGTTTGTGCCCTGCTAGGCCCTTGGGTTTGTGCCCCGCCTGGCGCTTGGGTATGTGCCCCGCTAGGCCCTTGGGCTTGTGCCCAGCTTGGCGCTTGGGTTTGTGCCCCGCTTAGGTTTGTGCCCCGCTAGGCCCTTGGGTTTGTGCCCAGCTTGGCACTTGGGTTTGTGCCCCGCTTGGGTTTGTGCCCTGCTAGGCCCTTGGGTTTGTGCCCCGCCTGGCGCTTGGGTATGTGCCCCGCTAGGCCCTTGGGCTTGTGCCCAGCTTGGCGCTTGGGTTTGTGCCCCGCTTAGGTTTGTGCCCCGCTAGGCCCTTGGGTTTGTGCCCAGCTTGGCACTTGGGTTTGTGCCCCGCTTGGGTTTGTGCCCTGCTAGGCCCTTGGGTTTGTGCCCCGCCTGGCGCTTGGGTATGTGCCCCGCTAGGCCCTTGGGCTTGTGCCCAGCTTGGCGCTTGGGTTTGTGCCCCGCTTAGGTTTGTGCCCCGCTAGGCCCTTGGGTTTGTGCCCAGCTTGGCACTTGGGTTTGTGCCCCGCTTGGGTTTGTGCCCTGCTAGGCCCTTGGGTTTGTGCCCCGCCTGGCGCTTGGGTTTGTGCCCTGCTAGGCCCTTGGGTTTGTGCCCCGCCTGGCGCTTGGGTATGTGCCCCGCTAGGCCCTTGGGCTTGTGCCCAGCTTGGCGCTTGGGTTTGTGCCCCGCTTAGGTTTGTGCCCCGCTAGGCCCTTGGGTTTGTGCCCAGCTTGGCACTTGGGTTTGTGCCCCGCTTGGGTTTGTGCCCTGCTAGGCCCTTGGGTTTGTGCCCCGCCTGGCGCTTGGGTTAGTGCCCCGCCTGGCGCAGCCCTGTTGTGGTTGCCACCTTGCACGAGCCTGTTGCCCTGAAATCGCCACGAAACGCAGTTGTGGTTTGCTTGTCGCGTTTTCAGAAGTTCTTTGTAGACCAGGCCCTTTAGCAGATGAAAGGTGCTTAAAGCTTTTACATCCTCCTCAGGTTATTAGTTCCCTCCAAAGACAGCAAGGTGCTAAAACTGACTGCAGAGACCTCTACAAGGGCAAAGCCTCAGTCCTCTTACCTTCATGTTTATATTCCCCGACACAGCACCTAAATACCTTTTATATGAAGCAGCACAGCCAAGAGACTTCCAGGAGCAAAAAAGACCAGGGGATGCTGAAGGACGGAATAATAAACAACCTAGGAGAAATATGAAATATCTCACTATTTCTGTTGAAATGGGGGAAGGATGCTGTGGTACGGTTGTCCAGGGACTCCTTTGGGGTCAGGGCCTGGTAACACTTAAAGAGGGTTACTTGGCACTTTATTACTGCAAATAATTTGCAACTGAGGGGAAAAATCAGGTTGGATCAAATTCTGCATTTATCTACTGTCTGTAAAGCCTGTGTAATTCCCCTACAGTCAATTAGCGTTTATGCTGCTACAACTGAGGAGAATTATGTGATCCCGGTGTAGAAAACCTTTTCTGATACAGAAATGAGCAGATCTGAATTAAGGTGGGGGAAAAAAAAATAAAAAAATCTGGCAGTGTCCATGGTCTCGGAAATCAGTTTCTTTCATAACCAAACTGAAGTCATGCTGAATGTCACAGTGAAACATTATTCCACCGCATTTACAGATGAGATTGCCTTGTGTCCTTCTGTAAACCACTGGAGCCCCCTCTATGGCCCTCACACATTAATTATGATTTTATTTGAGCAACCTTTTGCATCTCAAATAGGAAAACACGTAGATAGATGCTAGAGCTGAATGAGGGAATGTGTGAAGGAAAACCAGGGAATTCCAAGTTGTGAAGAGCTCCTGCTTAAATCAATGTCATTTCCCACATGTCAGGGCTGTCACATGGTATAAAGAAAAATGTATTTGGAAGTGAAAATGCTGTCCCTGTATCCTTGGGATGTGGAACTATCTTTGCAGAGTAGTCTTCTTTCATCTTGGCTTCCTGCATCTTCTGCAAAAATCTCAAGGTCTGCAAGGTTACATGCGGACATGCTTTTCCTCCAAATGTATCTGTTAATTGGCATGCTGCCCTTTCGTGCCTTCTCACAAAAACACTTCGACTACAGTCCTGTTTTCAACCATCTGATGCTGTATTTCTAATTTGCTCCTTTTCAGTCTTATTCTGTACTTACTTAACAACAGTCCTCACTACTCTTCCTGAATAATTTCCTTTAATGATATGGTGCAATTTGCTGCCCATTTTAAAGATTAACATTTACGAGAGTTTTTGAAGAATTAACTGGTCTTGCTTTCAATACTGCAGATCACATATGCACCTGAACTTATTAAAATATTTAAATAATATTTATAATGAGAGTCAGTGGCCTCCTTGTTTATAGGAAATAAAGATTTAATACGGAGTATGCAGAGTTATGACTAAAAATGCAATTACCTGGAAGTAATCATTTGTCAAATTGCTGCCTAAAAATGTAGCTTGCTTTAAGTTAGCACTATGAGGCTATAATTATCACAAAAGCCCAGTTTTAAAAATACAGACTTTTGAACAAGTAAAAGTTGACCTTTGATAAACCATTTTTCTCAGCTTCATTTCTATTAATCACCTGTTCTGAAGTGATGGAGCGATGGGTCATCCCTGTACAATGGGATGGGATTGCTTCAACAACAGAGTAAAAATAGTAGGAGCAACCAGTATTCTCTTACTTCTTTTCCACCTGAAAAAAAAAAAAAGGCAGCACCAAAAGCTTTATCAAAGTTTTAATCTCTATCTAAAGCCTAAAAATATTTGCTTAATTGACCAGAGACAGAATCCAAGCAGGTATCTATGCATTTGTTGCAATTCAAATTGATTTAAGCAATCACCTGCTGTGTAACATGCTTTTCCTACACCTTAGACCTGAGAAAAAAAGAAAGGAAGTGGGTATTTTAGCTGGATACAGTTTCAACGTTTCCAGCCTCCCTGCTGTTGTTTGTATGCAGGCGACTCCTTCGTGGTGGGTGATCATTGAGACACCAGGACTAGTGGCAGACGCACAGATCAGAAGTATTTATTGGATTCTCCAGCCGCTCCCATTTGAAAATACCTAACCAGAAGCACCAGGGAGTTACACTGAGAGCAGAAACGGAGGTAGGAGAAAAAAAAAAGAATTCACTACATAGAAATGTCTTTTCCTTGCTAAAGCCAAAAAAAATATAGTTAATTATGTAGGAGAGTAGAGTGAAGTACTTGCTGGACAGAAAATTCAAAGTAAAAACTGCTGTTAGAGATCTGTTCGCTCCTACGGTGCCTTATAACTTCTTCCTCCTAATCAGAGTTATTAGCACTGACAAGTTAAATAAATTAATTCATCAAGCTATAGAATATTATGAAATCCCTTATTGAGATAAATTAAACAAAGTAGAACCAATCATTTGTACTCTCTGGTATAACACAACACAGGAATATTAATTATCAGCCAAAGGTAAGTCTGACGTTAGTCGCTATGAAACTACTTCGTTTGCGTCACTGAGAAGAGGGTTATTCTGTTACTTATTTATTGTGTCTCAGCCATGGCCTTTGAGCAGGGCTGTAGGTGGGTAGGTAGGGATGGTGGCACTGGTGACTCCCCCTCTGCCCAGTGTTGCAGGGTTGAGTTAAGGGGTGCTGTGGATATGGGGTGGTGGGTCCGAAGGTTGTTGGCCATGTGTGCAGCCCTTTGGAGAGCATTGCAGGCGCCTGGCCGGGTTGCTAGGGGATGGTGCTGGCAGCTGTCTGAAGGCAGTCGGGTGCCCTGCCCTGTCCCACCAGAGACAGAAAAGTTGCCAGGCAGCAGCTGACACAGGAGCAGAAAGAAGGAAGAAAGTATTTGAGAGGAGCAAGAAGGGAAGAAAGACCAAAGATTAAAAAAAGAACAAAAA